CCCAACAACTACATGGTTTTCATGTTTTGAAATGTGTTGAGTGTTTGTATTTGGCCTCATTTGTTTTAATACCAAGTAGTAAAATCTTTGGCTAAACACTTCTTTATCAGTCGCCTTTAACAAAGGTCATGTGGGTTCAGTTTGATCTTTAATTCCAGCCGTTCTGTAAAAGCCTCAGAAGTCTGTTAAATAACATTAATAGGCAACTGCATTATAAAGACAAAGGGGCGCAGCAGAGGGGCCAGAATTTCAACATACCAGAGGAGCAGTTAGGAAACACACTTAAGTTAATTAACTTAAGTTAATTTGTTATTGTTTGAATTGCAATTTTCAGGGTTGCAATCCAAACAAAGAACTTTATGTATTTGAGATAAATACACTCATTGTTGTTAATTTTGAGTAGGTATATTTTATTGATTATGTGTATCAAATAAGAAATTTTTTTATTTATACAAATGAATATATATATATATATATATATATATATATATAAAATCCAAGGTTGGTTTAATGGTAACTTGCCTGTACTCATATAACACTTTTTCAGGTCAGGAGACTTGACCAAAGCACTTTACACTACATTCCGTCATTGACCCATTCACACACACACTGATTCATAGGTTTGTGTTAATGTTATCTCATAAAAAGCCTTCGGACATTTTTTATGTGATAGGATTATTCAAATCTTAAAATTTACTGTAAAATACTGTATGTTTGTGTTTGGTAACTTTGGAGGAACTACAGAGATCCACAGCTCAGTTGGGAAAATGTGTTGAATTAATCATGCACCCAAAACGATGTCAACTTGAACTTTTTGGAAAAAGGTTGGTTGAGATAATTAGAGATTTGTGGTTTAGCGCCACACATTTCCCTGAACCGTTAATCCTCACCATAAGGCATGGTAGTAGCAGCATGAGCAGAGGGAGGGTGTGGGATTGCTGGGAATATGGTTTAAGCTGAATATGGTTTTCATATAAGAAAACATATTAAAGATTGCAAAAGACTTGAGTCTAAGACATTGGAAACCCACAAACAGGAAATAGTAAACATGCAGTCAGATTTACTATATGATAATTTGATCAAAACTTTATTTATATTTACATGTTCGCGTCCATACATAAATCCTATGGAGACTCTGTGGTAAGGATGAACGAATAATAATGAAATAATATTGGGAAAGAAAATCTCTAGATCCATGGAACCGCTTGGATTACACCCCCCCCCCACACACACACACACACACACACACACACAACGACTTGTAGCTTGTAGTAAAAAATGGTGGAGTACTAAAGTTTTAACTCAGCAGGTTGGAAAACAAATGCACGGCCAACCTATAAAATTTTCCTGCTTTCCTTAAACATTTCAAAGGCGTGCATAATTGTGCTTCTATCTCCGAATTAGAAAATTTTTGTGTCCATTCGTCACATCGGAAAATTATGTGGATGCATAAAATTGAGGGAAAAAGGAATTGCGGCCGCCTCTCTTGAAGTTAAAGGCTCTTTTAAATATGAAATTGTAATGTTGCAAGTCACATAAAAGCTTTATTCTAACACGCTGCCATAATCACTAAAAACAGCTAACACACATTATGTGGACACTCTGCATGTCTCATTGATTTGTAAACTAGGAATTAGATGTCTCCTTTTAGAATAAACAGTAACTGTGTGGGAGGGACAACAACTCGATATTCCCCCTTATTTCCTCCTGAGACTAACACCAGCAGGGTTCGTTTCATGACGGGCTCTGAATGGAGCATTCTGTGCACATAATGAGACGCTTCTGGACCTGCACATTTCCACAACAGAAATGCTTTTCACATAAAAGGACTCCGGGAAACAGTATTTCTGTTTAAAGACTACAAACCAACCTTAAAAATGATAGTGGTGTGCAGAGTCTGCCACAGCAGGAGGTAGAGTGAACGATTTCTCCAACGATATTCCAGATACTGCACACTTTTTAAAGACGTTCTGCAGCTGCTCAGTGCTGCAATGGCTCTGCTGTGGATCTGCTTCTGCTGTTATTATTGTTTCCACACTGTTCACCATTCTTCCTGTCTCACGCCCCCGATGTTGGGCCTTATTATCTCCATGCAAAGGGCTGCGTCTCATTTGTCCAGCCGACCCAGTTCATCAAACACTTGTCGTCCCCAAAGCTGTGATCTACATTTCCCTTAATGATCAGTCACAGTGCAGGCATTCAGGCTGGCTAGGGTGGCTTGGCAAGGATCATTGTTGACGAGGATTATTTGGAAAGCCTGCTGGAAGTCTGTGTGTGTGTGTGTGTGTGTGTGTATAAGCACAACTCATCATAAGGAGATAAACTGACAGACAATAATGTGGATACATGGCAGGTTTGAGGGTATATTGAAGAAATATGATTCTGCAAAAGTTGGAGTTCATTTTAAAATGGGTTTTTTCGGGTTTTTTAGATGGTTAAAGAAAGGTATGCTCGGCAAAAAAAGTGATGCCTTGGAGCCAAAGTGTTGTTCGGTGTTATAACCATGTTTTGTTCCAGTGGGAGCAAAGCAGCCCATAATGTTAACCATTTTAAACTCTCAAATCTAACGCACAGATTCTAGTAAAGATGGAGATGTTCCATAAATATACCTCAAAAATACTCTTCACATCAGGGGACATTAATAAATGGATATATCTTTGCCTCTTCACACTTTTCACATTCACTTTAAAAACATTACAACCAGAAACAGTCATGGATTTGGATGTTTAGTTTTTTAATTTTCATTGGTTTCATTTCCATTTTGTGTTATTCTAGTTTTTTGAGCTCTTATGTATTTCTTGTTTACCCTCTGCTGACCCTTGTGTCAGTCTCCTTCCCCTAACTCCCTTCTAGATGCTTCCATCCACACCTGTTCCTTATCAGCTCATTAGCCCAGTCTTTCTTCTGTCTCCCATTTGTACTCTCCCTGTGCAGTTCCTCAGTGCTGGTTCCTTGTCCTTTCTTGATCCTCATGTGTTCTCCCTGATGTCTGCTAGTTTTTGGTTTTCTGTATTTAGTTAATTTTGGATTTTTGACTCATTTGCCACCTTTTTGAATGATTAAATCAGCAAGAAATCACTTCAGCTTCTGTCTCTGCATTTAGGTCCTCCAAAACCTCCACTGAAGCTGAAAGAAACTTTTCAAACATCTGATAAATCAATCAAGAGTGATGCTTCAAAATATTAGTTTGGTTTTTTTTCCAAGAAAATAATGGTTTGTTCATGTCAAATTTTCATCAGAGAAGAACATTTTCCTTATCACTGTGATGCTTCTTCTTAATGCTATTTGTTAACTAAATGGAGGCAACCGACATGATCTGGTCAGATGTTCTCTAGCCAACCTCTGAGGTCCTCAGGAAAGAAGCAGTAAGCGACACATTTGGAGACTATAAATACTTATGTAATTTCAGGAGAAACTTGGGTGTCCCTGAGCCTATTTAGGGGTATCAGAGTAAAGAGGTTTGAAAAGAAATGGATACATAAGTGGAGTGGCAGCTAGTGGTAGGGCGTAGAGCTTGGAATCCTGAGGTTCTGAGTGCAAGTCCCACTCCCACAGAACGCCACTCTGGGTCCCTGAGCAAAGACTCTTAACCCCACACTGTTCCCCAAGGGAATGGTTTAAATGCAGAGAGGGAATTTCGTTGCTTTGTACTTGTGACAGTTTAATGACAATAAAAGCTGGGGGGAAAAAGGGAAAAAAACATAAATGCAGTGGAAATAGAGGAACATAAATTTGAAAAAATAAAAGTAAAAAAAGGTTTCAGATTTGAATGTTAAAACTAAAAAGAGGTGAAGGGGTGTGACTACTTTTGCAACAAACTACAATAATTTTTCTTAAAGACCACATTTTAATCTCTTAATGTAGAAATTCAAACCATTTTTCATTGTTATGTCTGTTTTCGGAAATGACTGAATATTTTACATAAACTATTTGTTCCAGAATTATTAGCAAGGTTGTTTCTCTTTCAGCTAAATGGTCATAGGACAACAAAAAGAGCTAAGATTCATCTAGCAAACAGAACATAATTTTTTTTTTTCTGTTGAAAAGGGACAATGCATATACATGAAAGAATTTATACATGAATAAAAATAAAAAAGGCTTCTCCAGTTTTCCCCTGTAGGTCAGATACAATCAGGACAAAAAAAGACACCATTCACAGGACAAATGAGAGAAACAATCCTGTTATTGACATAACAAGCACACAGAAGATGTCTAGACATCATTCGATTTATTATTTGCTGTGCATAATTACAAATCTGACTGTCAACAGAGCGGCTTCCACAGCAGGACTGGGTTCTGAGGTAATGGATTCTGATTAATCCTCGTTTACATACCCATCAACCATTTAACAACTGCGCGCTCATTGATATGTATTTGTTAGATTTTCCGTAAGCTGTTTAAGTTTCAGAAGTAAGGAATCTATTTCTATGCAAACATCAATTTAACCTCTGATAACTTTAAATGAGATGGATGTTTCTCAACTGGAAGATATGTAGGATTCTAACATTTAAGTTTACACTATTCCATTTCATTCTTGTTTTAAAGCTGTTTCTATGTGATCAGCTTAGACCAACTGAAACATTAAAATGCAAATGAAAGATTATATTCAGCATTTTTGCACAATAAATGTCAGACTGAATACAGATGATGATTCATGCAGTGGTGCAGCAACTGTAATAATAGCATTAAAAGTGACTGACAATGTTCTGTTGTTAAACTCTGCTAATCACCACACTGCTCTCTGTGCTCCCTCATGCTTTCAGGGCTGGAGGGCCAACAACCTGATTGCTCCAAACCTTTTACATCAGCAGTCCTGCTGCCATGGAAACAAAGCCAAGAACCTGGCAGGAACAGGGTCCTTTCCATTTTCTAGCAGGGATGCAGGGTGAAGAGGGCGTGACCGTGGGCCACAATGTTTCTCTGCAAGACAGAAAAGCCCCCAAGGCAATGCCTGAGGAGGACTTAGATGCCCCGGAGTCTGCAGCCGAAGATCCACAGAGGAGCCAGACAATCAGTATATCTGATAATGAAAATAAAACTGAAAATCCAGAATCTGCCGATTTAAGTTGGAGCACTTTTAGAGGGACTAAAGAAGGTTTGGCAGAATCACAAGAAAGATCTAGAACGTCATCAGGAGTTCGAGAGGAATCTAAGCAAGCATATAATCTGTGTGAGGAGGGTTTCCTACGTTCTCTGCAGCTCAGTGTTTTATCACTAGCAGAGTATTGTGAGGAAGATAGGTTTTACAGCCTGGAGGGTGAGGTCAGGGAGTGGACCAGTGAACCCGATACAAATAAAGACATTAGAGAAAGCCCAAAGACACCTAAAGTAATTGAGCCAGCTTATCAGGACAAATACATATCTATTCATCATAATTCTTTTGACATTTGTAATGATAAAACTGAAACTCCTACATTTCAGACCGGAGATTTCATTAGCTGCAATGACAGAAGCACTCTGAACTCTCCTCCTTTTGCTGATGAAAGTGGAGAAGAAGAGGAAGCAGGTACACAGTTAACAGCCTGTCAGCAGCAATTAGATACACCTGAGTTGATTTGTGTGGGTTTGAAATCTACATGTTCTGATCCTGAAGAGAAAGACACTGTCCTACCTGCAGGTACTTCAGTCAGGCATCAGGAGGCAGTGTTGCCACAAAGCCAGTCTAAGCTGTGTCCCAGAGGACTAAACCAGGAAGCTGTACAACAGGTGTTTGCTCAGGGATCTCCACCTGGCTCGGCTGTTGCCATGGAGCTGACCAATCAGGGCAGGGAAGCCTCTCAAGGCCATGTTGCAGCTGTAACAGAAAGGAGCGGTAGGGTGGGGGAGAGAACACAGGGTGAAAACGAGCAAATAGGTGGAGTTGAAGGGCAGAATAAGACCGGAGTTGAGAATATCAAGTCAGCTGTAAGGTCACAGAACAGAGTGCTGTTCAGGTATCTCCAGGCAGTCCAAAAACAAGAACCTAAGGTGGACAACAGCTGCGGTATACCTCTTAAACCTAAGGGAGACGTCAGGATGAGGACTGACATGCATGATGACAGCCAGAGCGACAGCGGCGTGTCAGCAGACTTCCAAACATTCAGAACTCTGAGCAGCAGCATGTCTGTAGACTCTACAGGCCCTGCCTCTGCAGAGACCCCCATCGAGAGGGAGATCAGACGTGCCATAGAGCGGGAGCAGAGCCTGAGGAGATCCAGAGGACTTCCAAACCAACGAACCTCTCCAGAGTACGTAGAAGTTCCTTTGAGAAGAAGCCTGCTTAGCCAGTCGGTAACTCCGAAGTGGTCCCAAAACAAGGATAGGGAATTTGCCGGCAAAAAGATGCTGCATGAGATCCATGAAGAGTCCCGAAGAGAACAAGATCTGGTTAAGATTGGGAAAATTCCAGGCTTCTATGACAAAGGAACAGCCAGCCAAATAAAGGAGAGAAAGCAGCTCTTTGAGACCCTGAAGATTGCTCCAGGCTCTCCAATGATGGCCTCACTGAAACATAAAACCTTATCCTCTTCGTCTAGCAGCAGTGAAGATTTGAGTTTATCTATGGAGAGTCAAGATGAATCTGGTGCCTCCACCCCAGACCATACCTACAGTGAGAGGAAATCCATGATGTTGAATCACTCTCAGAGCCGAATCCCTGCCAAAGGTTCAGATCAAACTATTCTTCGGGGGTCAAGGTCCTCTGAGGGAACCAGATCTCAGATAATCATCCTAGAACATAGCCGAACAATTCCAGCAAAGAAACCCCACAATGTTAGAGTAAAGACAACGGCCGATCCAGCTCCTGAAACCAAAAACATCTTCAACTCATTGGAGAAGACAAGGGGATATGATGGGCTGACAAAGAATAAGAAGGTACTGGTGGAGAAGGAGGAGGCAGCATCCAAGGGGAACCCCTTTTTTAAGCTTCGCACCTCAGCTAATTTAGAAAAAGTGAGGCAGGAAATCGAAGAGGCCAATGAGAGGGAGAAGGAGCTCCACACCTTACGGCTCAGCCTCTATGGGGGCATCAACAACGCTGAATCACCCATAACGAAAGAAATGCCAGCTCCTGGGAAACTGTCCAATAGCAGAAGGGAAGCATATGAAGGTTAGTGAATTAGGAAAATGTTTTTTATGTGGTCCTGTAAGTGGGTATGAGCTCTTTTTTTAATCAGTGGGAAAATGATAAAGACCCCCTTTAAAACTGCCTCTGCGTACACACTACTTTATTCATCCCCTACTGGTAAAAATCTCCACAAGGACGTCTAAGTAATAACAGAAAAGCGGAAACTAATGAGTCATATTGCTTTAATGTATCTGAAATCAGAAAAGTTTGATGAAATAAAAAGTCTACCTAAACTTTTATTTAATTGGTGAGTTAAAAACGGGGGTCTTGCTTTGTACTAAGTATATAATGAGGGTAAAAGACAAAAACCTTTGAACTTTTTCTGAGATCATCCTTAGATCTTCGGTTATGTCATTACATCACAAAAATACTTGCAGTGCAAAGGTCTGGGCTTGATCCATTGTTCTTTCCACCGTGAAAATGTAGTATTTGGGCTTTTCTGCCTTTGTCTTTGTACAGTAATATATATTTGTGGACAGCACTTTTATATTTTGAAGGGTGTGTAGTTTTCCCTTTTGTATAGAAACAAATGGGATGACAGTGAAGTAGAATGAGGTCAATGTAATAAACAAAGGAAATGATGCATATCAACCTTGGAATGCTCCAAGCATCTCAGAATGGACATCAATAAAAGTTGGTTACAGCTAGATTGAGCCTTTTAGGACAGATAGATGGATTATACAGTCTCCTCAAGCACTTGTTACATCTATCTTCAATAATTATTTGATCCTTTCTTACTGCAATATATGTAGAAAAGCGAAAGCTGCTTTAAAAAGAGAGTTCCTAATAGTTACAGCTCATTCGAGGTGAAACTGAAGGCTTGTTAACCACGGCTACATGTAATAATGAAGGGTGTTTAAAGAATAAAAATGTTAATGAATAAAAGAATGCAGCTGTCAATTGTTTCAATAAAAAGTGGCCTAAATCGACCCTGGGTGTGCCAGAGTGCAATTACATGTCTATGACGCAGCGCTTATTACATAACATTGTTTAATTGTGCAACTTTATGTGATCCTTAGTATCTGCTTCTATTCTTGGATTGTGTTATATTGGTGTTCAGTGAAATCCTTCACATTATAGTCACTCAACTGTTTTTTACTGCCTCCTCAGCAGAGATATCGTGACAGAAACATTTTTCCTCTCTGCTCTTGTGGTTTATCTTGTAAAAATTGCCTCTGTGTCTTTCAGGGTGGCAGTCAGTGGACAAGGTGTCTGCTTGGCAGCCTGTCCTGAGTGAAGAGGAAAAGATTTTCCATCCAGAGGTTTGTTGGCATTTTATTTTCCTTCCCCTTACAACTTCTTGTTCAGTTTTAAGGGTTTTCTGCCCTGTAAATGAATGGCGCACTCTGTTTAGAACATGAAAATGTAGGCAAATCACCTCCCAGACTCCCTTTGATTGCTGCTTAGTAAAAAATACAAAGCTTGTATTGTATGTCTTAATTAAGACGATGCATTAGGGGTTCAAGCAGTTTCCTAGCAGCCAGATTATGAACATTTTTGCAACTGCTCTGGACTTTAATATATAATTATAATGGATAAAACCCTCCAGGGAGGATGTCAGCTTTTCTGTTGCACCAAATATGGGACACAAATGTCTGATAAGGTCCTGAACACACAGCAAGGCACTTATCTCGCCAGATAAGGGAAGAAGGCAAACAGCCTTGAGACTGAGAGGAAAAGTAACATGCAGTGTGGAAAGTGGGATTATGTGTGTCCATTTGAGGAGGCTTGTGTGTATGGTCATGTATTCAACTCCGGAGATAAAAAAGAGAACCGGTTTCCCTCCCACTGACTTTTGGAACCCGTCTTATGGGTTTTTAATCTTTTAGAAACTGATGTGGCTGTGATTATACCTGAGTTCGCTGTGTAATTTGGCGAGGTATTAAGGTGTTGGTCTTTAGCTGCATGCTTTGATCTGACATCAGCATGAGCATTTTAACATCTTTCTCCATGGTGCTTTCTGACTCTCTTTCCTTATTAATGCATCAAGCCTTCGTTTGATAAGGATTTAGGGATAAACTTCAGATTCTGCAGGAGAGACTTCCCCTAAACCTTGACTTAGTCAGGATAAACGTCACATAAACCTCAGTTCAGCTTAGTATCATATCTGTGAGGAAGATGTATAATTAAAGAAGTTAAATTTTCCTCATTCACAATTTTATATTAATTTTCCTCCATTTTGACACATTATAACAAACATCTTACTGCATTTTTTTCAGTTTGGTGACCAACACAAATTAGTTCACAACTGTAAAATGGAGGGAAACGCTAGATGGCCAGATTTCAATTGTGTGCAGAAAGTGAGGCGTAAAAAAATTGACAGTTGGACCATTTTTATCCTTTATAAAAAAAAATAAAAATAAAAAGCTCAATCCTAGTAAGAAAGGTAGGGGAGCATGTGTAAGCATTAATTTGTAGTCTTTCTACAAATTGTCATTTGGATAAATTTCCTGTTTTACTTCCAAAACCAAAATAATTCCAATTGAACAGGGTCAGCATTTACTTAAGCTGGATAGCCGTGGCTCCAAAATTGGTACTTTCTCATTTATTCCTTATGACAGGAGGTGGTTTATCAATTCCTGACCCTACTGTGATGGTGAACTGGAAGGATAGTGTAATAAAATAGCCTAATGTTCCGATCAGCAAAATACCTTTGTAGTTGCTTGAGTCCATAGCAGTAGATGGAAATGCCATGAGGAGCCTGAAAAGCTTGGAAAGATATCAATACTTCTACAGTGACACAGTCAGCTGGGGTGGGGGTCAGGGAAGATGGGGAGGTGGAGACTGCAGGCTCCACATGTATAGCTGAACTCAAGCACTCATGCAGCTGCCATCCTATTGACACAGACTCCACACGATTTTATTAATCAAAATAAAAAAAAACATCAGTTTATTCTCAGGGCTCTTTCTCCCTATAAACAGCCTGTTCAGACATGCAGACTGTTCAGACAGCAGGTGCTTTTTTTTTTTTATTCTTGGCAGAAAAAAATGGTAGCCCCCATAGTTCCTCTGTGAGACTTGGCTATAGCTCTCTAGACTTTAACTGGGCCATTCAGACAAATTAAAATGAATGAGTCTGAACTGCTACTGTACATTCTAGCTCTGGTTGTATCTGTGGCCTCCTGCAGGATGATGAAATTCTACCCCACTATACAGTCTTTTGTAGTGACAAAAATGTTCCTTATGGTTACTTTGCATTTAGCTCCATACATCTTCATTTGAACTCTAACCAATTTCCTTGTCATGACTGCATCCCCACTGCATAATTGGTGTTGTCACCAATGGTACTGTCACCACCATTTGACAATGTGAATGGTTATCTCAACATTATACCTACTTGCTGTTTATTGTAAAATCTTCAAAATAAACAGCAGATCCAAAACAAAGAAAAATAAAAAAAATAAAAAGAAAAAAAAAGAAAAGAAAATCATACAAACATGAATATTTTAAGTAGATTCTGAAAGGTTGTTTATGATGATCCATAATCCTGGCCCAACAGGGCAACATGGTAAATGGTAAATGGCCTGTACTTATATAGCACTTTTTCAAGTCAGGAGACTTGACTAAAGTGCTTTACATTACATTCAGTCATTCACCCATTCACGCACACACTCACACACTCAGTGTGTGAGTTCTGGACCGAGCTTTAATCATGTGATGGTTTAAAGCTTCAAAAACTTTATTATAGCCCAATAAAATGTTTCTGACTTTCTGTATCAGCTCTCTGCTCTATTCTTTGGTCTGTTTTTGCACTGACATTATGTAACAGATTTATAAGGGTGTCACAGGGGGAATTTCTACACAGAGGGACTCCAGTTACTAATTAGGAAACTTTCAAAGAAAGATGAAGGATTTTCTTTAGGGGAATCATAGTAAAGGGGGTGGAATACAGCTCTAAGCAATACTTTCCAGGTTGTTTTCTGATAAAGGGTTTCAGAACTCTGTCTACTTTTCCTTCCACTTGTCAACATTATTTTATGTATATAACCCTGTTTTTTAATATAAATATATATGCATGACTCTTCTTTTCTCCTTTCCAAACAGATGCGGAAGAGTCCCCGAACTCCAAGACAAAAGACTCCTCTAGTGCAGCTGTGGGAGTCAGGCATGGTCTACGGCAACAACCTGGAGGACGACTGAAGATCAGGGAGAGTTCACAGAGATCTGCATTTTCTTTAATTGGGGGAGAAATCAAAACAAAAACAATCAGTGTAAAGGAGGGTGAAACATGAAGCAGGAGGGAGCAACAATGACAAAGAAGAAAGAACATGAAGTAAAATCAGAAAGAGGTCGTGGATTGAGGCAAGAAAACGGGGCCAGGCGGACTGGGAGCAAGAAAAATTGCAGTATATGAAAAATGCTCTCTTTGTCTTCTGAAAAGAGGAGAGAAGAAAGACTTTTAGACAGGCCACAATGTAGAATGTAAGATGTTGCCCTGCTTCTGATGCTGCTAAGACAAGAAAATATCACTTAAGAAAAGATGAAGACGATGAATAATAGAATGTAAACCAAAACATGTATGAGAAAGCAATTTTTAAATCGTGCTGAAGTTCTTTTTACTTTGATTTTCTTAAATAACAATAGAATAATATATTTCAGTTTTAAAGTTATGATTGTGTTGTTTTAGAATAATGTACAATGAAACTGTATCTTTAACAAAGCCCCTATTTAAAAAAAAAATGAAACAAACACCTTTCATGCCTTTTGTTATCTCTGTAAGAAGAAAATATTCTTTTCATCATCCATAACAAGCCTGTCCTGGAGACATGTCCTCCAGTACAATCCGTGCATGGCCCTTTGTTGTAGCCTGTGATCTGCAAGGGAATCAGAAGAGCAGAAATCAATATGGAGAGATCCAACTTATTCCATTCTTATCCGCTGGGCAACAATTACTGCTGTTTCTTCAAAGGCAGATGCTTTTAAAAAAAAACAGGCTAACAGAACCACTGCTTCAGCATCATTATTGTTCACCTCTAATCAATCTAAAGCTAAACCCTAAGTGGATTCAGCTGGATCATTTCTGATTATTTAATCTTAGAATTTTAGTTTGTTTGGCTTCTCGCATTTTTTACCACATACGCCATGAGTGGTTCATGTTAATTTTTTAGTCCCTACAGACGAATACAGGCAGCGGAAGATTTGACGGCTCACCCATGGGATTCCTACAGCCAGTACCACCCAGTTAGCTTAGCTAGACAAGTACCCAGACTGTTCTATCAGAGGGACTCTGCCCGTCTACATATTTTTGAAAGTATTGGCATAATCTTTATCAAATGACACAGATGAAGTTTTACGTTAAAAGTTCCTGCTTTAAAACATCTTTAAATGACTGTTAAATGAACGGGTGGCTGAAGTTACAGCTGCAGAGGGCCGGAGATCCCATTCCACACCCCGGTGTTATGACTAAATCTGTGACCCCGTCATATATTGTGAAACGCCTGCTGTGAGGGATGCTCAGAGGATTCATACCTAAAGTCACACAATTAATACCTAAAGCTAAGTCTATGGTGAAATACCTTTCGGGCCCCCTCACAATATATGACAGGTCACAGGTTTAGTTGCAGGCATGCCCCACCAACTAGCTGCTCTGCCACTTTAACACAGATTTAAAGTATGCTACTTCTTGACGAAATGATTACACATTGATGTGTACTTTCTTGATAAAGCAAAATATTTAAACACTTGTATACATCATCAGTTTCTGTCGCTGCTGATTGAATAAATGACTGCAACTGTATACTACCCCACCCCTCAAAAGCCCAGAAGGTAATGGGTCTCAAGAGCCTCCAAAGCCCCAGCAAAGTCAATTGACCCATGTGTAAAGAAATGCTACCCGGGTTTTCAAAAGCCCCAGACTCCTCAAAACCCCCAGGATTTTGATTGCTAATGGAACAGGGGCTACAGACTGTAAAGGTTGGAGGTTTGGGGTGGTGGTGTAGGAGGAGTATAGAGTAAGGTTAAAGGTAAAACACATTTCCACCTAAAGACATAAGAAAAAAAAATCCAGAATACCTTTACAGTTAAAGGTAGGCTAAATAATATATATCTTTTCCAGTTTAACCAGTATTACATTTGTAAAATTAAAATCAAGATTTCCTTTTTTTCACGGATAAATGTATCGGTTAAGGTTTAGAACAGGGGTGTCAAACTGGTTCCAGAAAGGGCCGAGTGGCTGCAGGTTTTCTTTCCAACCAAGCAATAGCACACCAGACTCCTGTCATCTCATCAAGTGAGTCCAATCTGAACATGATGACATTATGAAATGACTGGAGTCTGGTGTGCTATTGCTTGGTTGGAAAGAAAACCTGCAGCCACTCGGCCCTTTATGGAACCAGTTTGACACCCCTGGTTTAGAACCTCTCTATCTTGTATGGAAAAACATACATAATGTGGCTTCATACAGTATATTTTACACGATCCAATAAAAATACATATAGAGGATTAGCAATGCTCCATGGATACAACTGTACTAAATGATTTTATAAAACAACCATCAGTACATCAGTACAGTACACATGGTATCACACCTCCAGGGTTATCAGATTGGGATTGACCCTCTGCATCTAATTCGCATCACAAGTAAACTGTTAAAGTTCCAAACTTATAATATAAAACATTTTCTTTTTGCATGTAGTTAGAAGAGAATCAGTAGAAAAATATGTTTATACATTTTAGATATTGCAGAAGTATGGAAATTGTCTTCAGATAGATTTTTTTATTTTCCTGTTTTTTTTTTTACAAGCTATAATGCTAAGGTTAGAATAACACCAGCCTTTGTGGCCATCAAGTCCCTTTTTTAGTAAAACGTGCATAGCTGTTGCTGAT